GTGCAGTGTATGGAGAAGGTGCTGTGACTGATGGAACGTGTCAAAAGTGGTTTGTGAAGTTTTGTGCTGGAGATTTCTTGCTGGATGATGCTCCATGATGAAGTAGACCAGCTGAAATTGATAGTAATCAAACTGAGACATTGAGAACAATCAACATTATACCATGTGGCGGGTAGCTGACATACTCAAATCAGTAAAGATATTGGTGGAAATTAAAAAATGTGTCTTTCATTTTATAGAAAAAAGCCATTCGGACTTTTTGGCCAACCTAACATGTGATGTCTGAAGTTCTAGTATTGGTTTGCACCATAAGAACAGAGGCCACACCCTAAGGATGCCAGGGCAAAAAAGTGGAAGAAACTTGGATCTCTAATGATTTAAAGAAGTTGATAAACCAGGGCTGAACAGCCTATTTGTTATCTGGGGTTTTCTGTTATATACAGGCAAACTAATTTTACAAAAATTTGTTTGAACATATTTCTAAATGTTTGCTAGTCTATCTACAGTTGCTCAAGTCTTTATGAATTCACAAATGCCTATGAATGCATTTTTATATCTTTTTCAAGAAGTATACTTATATAAATTTAAAATGCTGCCAATGCCATTCTTAATTTTTATTTGTTATTTCACAATATTTTATGTCCATTTGGCCCCCTTTTTCTTCTGGTTTGCATTCAATCAGATACAACTTAATCCATTGTTTTACTGTGTAACCATCTGCCTTACTTTGAGTGTAGAAGTAAATGCTCTGTGAGACAGTGGCAGGTGGGGGGAGAGTTGGGTGAACCTGATCTTAGTGTTTTGAGGAATCAAACCCACCTGCATTTATTACAGCAGATAAATTTGCTATTACTTCTGTTATTTCTGTATACCCACTGTTTTTACTGCTCATGGCTGTTTGTGTTACTTCTGCTTCACCTGAGGTAGAGATTAAGAAGGATTGGGATACCACCTCACAGTTTTCTCTGTGCTATCCTTTTGACTCAATTAGCCAGTTTTCAGGTCAACCTATTTTTCCCCTTTGCAATGCTTCACACACAATGTGCCTCATTTACCTGTTTGTCCCCCTTCAGCTCTCAGCTCAAAGTTTACTTCCCCCACTGAGTTGGACACAGTGGATATATGGTTTTGGCATACTATCTACCTTTATTTATAGGACTGAGCACAGATGTAATTTTTTGTTAACTGGTGAAATTACATGTTTAATGTATTGACATTTCTCTCCAACCAGATTTTAAACTCCATCAAAATAGGATCTGTGTCTTTATTACTCAACTTCCTAGTGCCCAGCACAGATCTTGTTGCAGTGAGCACTCAGCAAATAAAGAGAGTCGTCTTGCTCATGTAGAGAAACATAGTAACTAAGTAACTATGGGCCAGCAAGTTGGTTGGAGTTGCATGTAAATGCAACATACTTGCATTCTCAAAGCAAGTGCCAGGGAGTGGAGATTGCAAGGCACACCTCACAGATCTTGCAGGTTTGCCTTCAGACCACCACAATAAAGCCAGTGTCTCAAAAAAGCAAACCATCATCTTCGTACTGGTGGAGAGTTCTGCTTACCATCTGCAAACATGCAAAATCTGTGACATGCAGTAAAAGCAAAGGGCGATAAAACGAGATATGGCTGTACCCACCCTGGCATTCTCAGTTCCATAAATCTGTAAGTAGGACTTCTCAGTGAGAACTGAAGATTGTTTAATAGATTTGTAAAATACTGATTGTGAAGGTAACAAAGTTAAGCTTAAAGACAAAAGGAGACAAAGTGACAGACAAGTGAAATAACTTAGAAAGGAAATGTAATTAAAGTTGAAGAGAATGAATCAAATTCAAGAAAACTTTAGACATGTTTTTCTGGTCTGTATGTCACCCACTGAAATTCACTTTATACATTACTATCAGTTTTACTACTAAAGAAGAGACCTGATAAAGTCACATCTTTCCAAAACCCTTTAAGGGCTCTCCATAAATCACAAAAGATGAAGCACTGCTTATTGTTGAATATATCCATAAACTGAAGAATTCATCTATATAATTTATTCTTGAAGAATTTTATTGTTAGATATTTGGGGAAAGTTGATTTTCCCACTTATAATTTCAAGCAATTCACAGCTTGAAGCAATAAGCATGAACTTTAAAAGATTTTGAATGAGTCCAGGCATACTTCAACATCTAACATCTCACAGGAACTGGCAATTTAATTCCGAGCTGGATTATTTTCATGTACAATGTCTTAATTTTCAGGGGTTCAAATCATGCATGAAAAGCTAATTTTCCTCGTTATGTTACAGGGCGCACTAAGTACCACAAAGAGACTGCAGAGTAAATTAATTTAGTGTGCAGAATAATATAATGTGAATTTGGTTTTGGATCATGCTTTGGGAATATGCCTAATGACCTATTCTTTTATTTTCCTTTAAAAAATATGTTTGAGGCTGTTTGGGGTTTCCAGTCGAAGATAGCGGCATAGGATAATCCTGGCCTCACTTTTTCCGACAAATGCAATGAATCTGCAGCTATGTACAAATAACTCAATCTCCTCTAGGAAAATTAAAAAACAAACAACAACAGCAACAACAAAACCCCTAAACCCTGAGCAGCTCCAAAGCCTCCGGCCCACCTCATCACAGCAGGAAAGAGGGAACAGGACATAATCTCCCCACAAAAACCCCTTCAGGAGGAAACTCAATTCCAGCCCTGAGAAATGAGTTCCCAAACACCAAGCTTTGAAAAACAACGTCCACAAGACTGTAAGGAACTGAGCATGCCCCACACAGACTCACCTGGCCCAGGGGTCCGTGAGGAAGAAGCCGACCCTGAAGAACCCAAACTTCCTGTGCAGGAGGTGAAGGAGGCCAAGTGCAAACCCTACCGCATTAATCAGCCTGAGGGGCAAGCGTCTCTGTACTTGAGTACAAACCTTGGGGGCTGCTGGCTGGTGAGCACCGTCTTCAGCTCTCCCTCTGCCTCCCTCCAGCCAAGAGGCACCTTCTTTTCTTCTTTTTTTTTTTTTTTTACAATACACTTTTTATTCTTTTTCCCGCGGGAACCATCTGCGAGCTCCCATCGGCAGCTTTCCAGCCACAGGCGCCATCTTCATGCTCTCCTCGGCGGGCACCAGCTGTTTTTACTTTTAATTAATCTGGGCTTTTATCTTCCCTTTCTTCTTCCCGGTGGGTGCTACCTACACACTCACCCTCTGCCCTGCTCCAAAGGAGAGCCTTTGACCTTCACACCTGCCCGATCCTGCGGTGGGTCTTTTTTGTTGTTGTTGTTTTGCTTTACCACTTAGGGGATGCTCTTGGACTCACTGGCCCTGGAGGAGCTGGGCTAGGGTCCCTGGTCTCCCGAGCCCGCTCTTGCCTGCTGCAGCCCGCTGGGCACTGAGCGGGGCTCCGGTTGGGACACTGCCCAGGGCTTGCTGAGAGAGACCCGCTTGGCCTGGAGCTGGGAGCTGCGGGGCTTCTCAGGCACCAGGCGGGTGAACGCATCTTTGGGTTAAGCTTCTGCCTCACGCTAACTCACCTGTATGTCCTGGAAAGGAGCTTGTACCCTGTCTGGTGCCCCAGTTTTGCCGCTATTGCCAGGGGACACCTGGCTCTGGCAGCCACTGGGACTTACGTTTCCGGGCGTCACTGTACGACTACAACCAAGAGAGAATCTGAGATGGATACCACCCCCAGGGCACAGCAAGAGACAGCAGGCCCGGGGAACCACAGGCCTATTAGCTTGTCTTCCTAGCTTCTAATTAAATACACATTTCCGGGCGGCGTGGTCTTCCGCGCTATATATGTAATATATATTAAGCAGTATATATAATATATATTAAGCGGTAGATATATATATGTATCTACCGCTTAATATATATTTTATATATACTGCGTAATATATATATTGCTTAATACATAAAGGATTTCTATATTAAATATTTATTCTGCCTTATATATATATTTCACTCAATATATAAAGGATTTATATATTAAATCCTTTCCAGAGAGTTCAAAGGTCTGGCGCGGTCTTCCCACGCTGCCCCAGCCACCTCCAGAATGCCACAAGCATTACTACAACTGTAGTGAATAATATATTGAATGAAACTAATATCGTATGTGTCGCCTGTAATTGAAAAATAAAAATGACTATAAATAATAATACTGTATTGCACATTTGAAAGTAGCTACAAGAGTAGATCTTAAAAGTTCCCATCACAAGAAAAATAACTGTAACTATGTTTGGTGGCAGATGTTAACTGGACTTATCATGGCGATCATTTTGCAGTATATACCAAAACTGAATTATTACATCGTACACCTGAAGTTGAAAAATGTTATGTCAATTACGCCTCAATGAAAAAAAAGGGAAAACCAATTTGTTTGAGCTACATACACACTGTTTATTAGGGGTTAGCAACCATCGTGAATACTGACTCCAGCTGGTGAGCTGCACATAAGGATGAACACTTGGCAGGTTTTCAATAAGCCCTTGTTGATTTTCGTTTTTGCTCCGGTACGACTGCCCACTCATTTTGATTTATACTGATGGACATACTCAGCAGACCTATGCTGAAGACTGGTTAGGTATGATGAATGGCCCCCCAAAAATTAATCTAATTTTCATCTTCTGGAACAGATGTTCAGCAAGAGAATGGAGAGAAAATACCTACCGGCACAGCACACCCAAAATTTCTGTTTTCTAGCAGATAGTAAAACTAACTCTGGATAATTAGTAATTAGAATATTAAAATAATTCTTGACGAGAAAGTCATGGTGAAATATATATAATTTCTTCTTTAGAGTTTAGGAGCTAGAAAGCATAATTTTATACTACCGAAATATTTGAAATTTCAGTCTTCCATTAGTTCTAAAGCAACATGACAAAAGTCTGCCAATGAACCAGAGAAAACTTACCTTCCAGCTAATGAAAATCAAATAAAATAAGCAACTACAAATAATACAAACAACACATTTATTTAGAAAAATAAACTGAAAATGCTGTTTGTCTGGTACATTTTTCCATGAAGCATAGATAAATGGCTATAAAAAACTGTTATATGTCAAATACAAATTACAAATGATTTTTTTTCAGAGAACAAATAGATGTTAAACACAAATGTTTCGTGTACAGTTCACTGTATTTGACTTCTTGGCTGTTAATGATAAAAAATGATCTTCATTAAAAAATTTGATCCACACTGATGCTTTTTCATGATAATTCTGTAGTTGTTATTTTAATCTGAGACAAGAACATTATTTTTTCAGGTAACTGATTTTTATGGAAGAAAGAGAAATCAATATATGCAGAATTCTTAAGTGTTTCCTTTTTAGACTCCTGCAAGAAACTGCTTGTTGTGGTCTCAAAACTCATGGGACCATCTGTGCAAATAACAGCGCACATCATTACCCTGAATGGAAGTGACAGTGCAAATATTCGAAGTGCATTGAGAAATAATCAGTAAGAACTGACCTCCCCCCTCTCTCAACCAATATGGAGTGAAGGACTGAATGCAGAAACTTTTCCAGCAATTGACAACAATACTGCTATTCCATTATGGCTTTAAAAGTGTACACATGGTGGCAAACATCCTCTCTGCAAACAGCAACATTCCCACCTAATACTGTTCATTGCTGCAATGCTCCTCTGCTTGTTCAGTTTCTCTTTGTCTACATTTTTCCTTCTGAAATGCTGAGTGATTCTGGCTAGAGATAACTCCTATCTCTATGCTTTTAACTTCCCAAATGATAAATCAACTGATAATTTACTAGCTTAATTTGCTGAATATATGGGTTCGTATCTGGGAATATTTATTTTCATGGTGAAGTAAGATGGAGTTTGTTTGGTTTCTGTTTTTGTTGGCTTGATTGTTTAATCCTTTTCATCTGTTTTTTGTTGAATCTTCTCGGTAATTTCTGAGTGAAGAGATTTAAGGCTGTGGCTTTTTCAGCCCTAGGGCTCTGCTCATGGCTGTTAGACTAGAGGCGGATGATTCTACGCAGACCCTATCCATGATGGTTTGTGCTCCGGAGTTCGGGGAGGTTGCTACTCTCAGATGGACAGGTTCCTGGTTATTTCAAAATTAGAGCTGGCCTCAAGAAGTCATAATGATGAATCCGAAGTGAGAAAAATGAGCTGACATGCCTCCAAATAAAGGTTTTCCTTCCATCCTGAAGGAGCTGTCAAAAGAATGAAAACAAAAGATCAGTTTAAATAACAAGTGCACTTCAACAAAAACATCCAAAAATGTGTTAAGAATGAGGCGAGCATTCGTTAGCCTAATTTAAAGTTCTTGAATTATCAAGAATATTATTTTAAATGTCTACATTAAACATACTTTCCACTTAAATTTTATCCATAAAATAATGTGATGTCAGTCATCAAAAGTTAGTAGTAGCGTGCTCACATCTCAAGTAAAAGATCTATCTTTGACAGACTTCTTTTTTAATCCTCACTCAAGGATCTGTTCCCTAGTTTCAGAGAAAGAGGACTGGGGGTGGCGGGGAGGAGAAGGAGACAGAGAAACATCCATGTGAGAGAGAACACGCAGATCTGTTCCCTCCTGGACCCTCCCCGACCGGGGACTGAATCCACAACTCAGGTACGTGTCCTGACCGGGGATCAAACCCTCAACACTTTGGTGTACAGGACAAGGCCCAACCAACTGAGCCACCTAGCCAGGGCCTATTTCCGACAGTTTTTTTAAAAAACTTTAGAAAAAGTTGTCCACTTATAAATGGACCAAGTTCTCAAAGACTATAATATACACTAATATTTATAAAATACCTTGAGATATTTATATCTTGAGAAATATATCTTGATACATGTCATTATTAAACATGATTAATCAATAAGTCCTATTTATTAAGGTGGATATTTCATTGAAAAACAAAAAATAATTTTGAAAACATGTTGTGGAATATAATCTTCCATTGCATTCTGTGTCATCTACATATGTTATCAAATTGCCAAAAGGATATTCTTTTCCTTGATGCAGCTGAGATGCCAAAGAACTATTCTTCCTTCATGAGTATCTGCCATTCTTTAAAATTAGCACCTTAAAGTCATTGATATCCATATTTTCAACTAATGCATATATTTTTGGGAAAACAAAAAGAAAGAAACTTAGCCATAATTCTCATCCCGCCCGCCCAACATCAAACATGCGTAGCACTGCTCAATATGAGTATGTCTATGGTCCTCTCTCTAGGTTATGATGGGAACAGGCATACTTGTGCCATGACTCACTGGAATACGTACAGAGAGTCATTAAAATAAACCTGCCACCACACTTAATTGACTAGTAAGTTATTAGAAAAGTCCGAGACGGAGAGTAATGGCTTTAAGGGCATTTTTAATCCCTGGGGTCCATCTGAGAACTCCTTTTTTAACCCCTTCACTTGGAGGTAGGTGAATTCCAAATGCACAGTGCTTTCTTCAGTACAGACACAAACATAATCCCAGGTCACAAAGTGGATCAGTTAGTCCTTTTTTGACAACCCATTACCATTCTATTAGATGAGTAAGAATTTTTTAAATTATGTTACTCCCAACTAGCAAGACAAAGTTATCATTTAAATAATCAAAATGAAGACAATAATCCTCCCAACTAAAAAAATCACCAAACACAATTAGTCAGTGTGTGTTGAAGGCATACTCTGGCTCATCATAAAAGATTTTCTGTGAAAGATAGAGAAAGAGAAGACAATCGCTCGTCATGATCTTGCTTACAAAGATGCAAAAGATATTGTTAGATAGGATAGATAGTAAACCAAAGCAGGGAGGGGAGGCAGTAGTGTCTTACTCATGAATTCAGCAGTCCTGAACCTGGCCTGATAAGATTGATAAGATCGTGAGGTGTCCAAACATCATGAGCAAAGCTAGATAGTGCAGGAAGGGGGGGACCTTTGAAATTCTGTGTGTATCCTTTTCACTAGTTGGGGAAAAAAAGCCTTTCAGACTGTGCATATTAATCCCAAGGTCTGGAGAGGGGAGGAGGAGGGGTACCTAGGAGCTGGCTAAAATATATAACCCCTGAACCCCAATAGGCAGGGCACTCAGATAAGCCGGGTGCCCACTTGCAGCTTTGGGCTCTAGTGTATACAACAAACTTAACAACTTTATTTCCTCTATACATGGGTCATTCAGACTAGCTGGGTGCCTGTGCCCAAGTGTATTTCGTAAATAAACTTATCTCTTTTCCACCACATGTTCCATCTCTCCCTCGAATCCTTCTCTTGCAAGCAAGGCAAGAACCAAGGAGGACGGGGACCCCCCCAACTTGGGTCTTCCTGGTAGTAATATGAGGACAGAGGAGTGGGGAAGACTGGACTAAACTCATGTAAGCTGTGCTTAGCCCAACAGCACCACTTACATCTGCCTATTTATGCCATTTTTTTATAATTTAGAGATATAAGCTTCCACATGTGGAAAAGAAATGAACACTAAAGCTGTTACTAATGTATCAGCAGCAATCATATAACAATTAATATTTTAGGTTTACTATTAAATAAAGAAGTATGATAAAACTGTACAAAGATGGCTTTCTGCAAATATATAGGAGTATAATTCATGTAATTGGGGCGAAGATAATTACATGTGCCAATTATATTTTCATAGTTCTCTGATATAGTAGTCTTTAAGAGTCTGCATTATTGTTACAGCTTATTAAAAAGGTGAAACAATCTATCAGTCAGTCAAAACTATGTATTTTGTACCTACTGTATACAGGGTACTGCTTGAAGGAGCCATGAATACAAAACTCTAATGTCTTGCTCTCCAAGGAGATTAATATTCGGAAGGTAAGGAGACATACTAATAGTCATAATAAAAGACTTGTGCTACAATACATGTAAATATGAAATAAAGAATGAGCATAGGAGAAGAGGTCTATAGAAGATGGCATCTGAACTGAGATTTGAGGAATGGGTTGAGGTCTGCAAAAGTAATACCTATTAGTTTTGAAATAGGGGTATTTCAAACAGGGAACTGCCTGGGCAAAGGCATAGAACCAGGGATGGGGTGGGTATGGTACTATCAACACTGTGTAAAAACGGAAGGAAGAAAATCCAGTTGTTTTTGGAGAGTGTCTGGAGGAAGTGTGGAAAGTACGATGGTGGGGGAGAAGCTGTATGAACGGCAGTCGTTTACAGAATAGGAATGGCGAAGCCATCAGCTGAATCCAGTGACTAAGAACTCAAGCTGTGGATGCTTCCTTAGTGGCAAATTGGAGAAAGCAAAATAACCCATCTATTCTTGCTTAAATAAGTGACAGCTGGAGTGTTCGGAGCTCCAGGATGCAGGTGTGCACAGGTAGGCAACCAGAAGTCATCATGGGGGTGCCGAGGATTGAGGATCGCAGGAGCGTGGCCTCAGCGGCTGGTGTGTGGGACTGAGTCAGTTGTGATGCCCGAGCAGGCGACCCAACAAATCTGCAGCCTAGTGGCAGGCATGGGTGTGCAGAAGTCACAAACTGGCCCCATCGCAGAACTTGGCCAAGCCACTGCCACCACCCTGTCTCCGGCCAGGAAAGATCCAGCACAGGTGCATCTCCTGCTCTGTGCCGTGTCTCCAATGGCATCTGCCTCTGGGTCCATGACGAAGCTCGAGCAGATTCTGGTCATCGACCCTCCCACAGCCCTCAAATTCAAAGACCCTTACACAGATGAAGTCACTACAAATCTTAAATTGCAAAATCCATCAGATAGAAAAGTATGTTTCAAAGTGAAGACCACAGCACCTCATCAGCACTGTGTGTGGCCCAACAGTGGAATTATTGACCCAGGGTTGATGGTGACAGCAATGGATTCTAAATCGAGATGCGATTTTGAAATGCTCAATGAGAACGACAACTTGAATGATAAGGAAGCCAGCAAAACTGTTCTGCTGAATGCATCTAAATGAGACAGACTCACAGCAAAACCACGCAGTGTTTCATCCAATGATACTGAAACAAGGAAACTCATGGAGGAAACTTCAGGGAGAAATGATGGAGGTTTAAGGCTCAAAAATGTAGCACACTGGGATAAACCCGGACCAGCCTCAACTGCTTCCCTCAGAGATAACGTCACCAATCCTCTTTCCTCACTTCTTCTAATTGCAGCCATCTTCCTTAGATGCTTTTTAGGGAAACTCATCTTGTAGAGTGAAGCATGCAAAATGCTACTTCTTTCACTTTCTCTTGATCAGAAAAAGATCTGCTTACTACCATTTCACTGGCAGTAGGGCCCACAGTGACCATTTTATGCTTATGTACAGAATCATATTGCCTTTAATGATCTCTTATGGTTAGAAAATAAAAACTAACTGTTCAGCTACTTAACAAACTGTATATTACCAGATTATCATTAGCAGATGTCAGTTGCACATTCAGTCCTTTATGAAATTCATAAATAAAGAATTGCTTTCTTTGTGAGTTCAAGAAGTGTTTATAAGAGTTCAAGAATTGTTCAGAATCTTGTAAATGTTATTGTAATAATCCCTTTAAATTTTATCTGTTGCTGTTACCTCTTGAAATATGATTTACTTAGATCGTTAATCCTGCTCATTCAGAAAATGCCAAGATATATTCTATGAGAAAATGTTGCCTCTCCACAGAGTAAACTTTCTCCTTTATCTTTGCTAATATCACAGCAGAATTTTTCTTATGCCTTATAAGGCAGTTGTTGACTGAGCTTTTCATCCTTACCATCCTGCCCTATGGTATTTAATATGACAAAAAAATACAACTGTTAACAGATTCTGGCTCAATAAATAAAAGGTTTGTTCATTTTACATTTATTTAAGATAAGAGCTAACATTATTTATGAATGTTCTCCTGTTCCACCAATTTTTTTTAGGTATCGCATGGAAGCAGATATTTGCTTCACAGCCCTCAGTGACCACACATTAAAAGCAGAGAATAGAATCTTCTAACCAATAGATGTGCCTATATATGCTGTCTGAATGCCAACATTGCATATTAACAGAATGCATTTAATTCTTACTGAGTTTTGAAAATTTGTTAGATATCTGAGCCTCTCCTTTTATGGTACTGGATTCACGTTCAGCCTGTTAACCTCAGGGTCAAATATTTTTCCCCACTGAATAAAAGGTCCATAACTTCTCATATATAATTGATAACTTAAAAAAATCTATCAAGTTCTATTAATAGGTTTTAAAATACAAACTTTTAAAAAAT